TGCTTAGAGACAAGTGCGGCCTATATATGTACACATTTTTTTTTCTTTCTAAGGTTAGTGGGAGCAGCTTATATTCAGGTGTGTTCAATATTCTGAAAATTATGGTATAAAGCAAAACTGAGCAAATGTGAGCTTACTGTGCTTTTATCTGTTTTACATGATAGATATTGAAAATCTTTGGTGTTAGATGTTTGGTTGCACAAAACAAGCCACCTTATGTTTTGCCTATTTTGGTCAACTCAGGTATTTGATTTGATTTAATTTGAGTTAAAGGCCTCTGGATATTATGAGCATTAAAATAATTTTTCAGTGTTGACATTTTATAGATGAAACAAGTCTTTAAAAAAGGTGTCAGCAGATTGGTAGCTGATATACATAATGACACCCTACTATAAATGGCCAATAAGCATTTTGTGTACCATCTACATGCTATTTATTGATGCGTCGACTGACACTGAGAGAAGAACAGCACACAGACACAGACAGCTACACACAGAGCGGTGATGTGTGCAGCTGTGCGTTTGTGATGAGATTAGAGGCCTTGCAAAGTGCCGTTCTGCCTCTGACCGATTACTGACATTCAATCCTGATAAAGGGACCGAGGAGAAGTGATAAAAAACCGAGAAGACGATAGAAAGACGAGGCCGGCTGCCCTGACAGATACAGGCACGGTCCAGATATTTTTGTTAACACCTGTTGATCAGTTTAACAAAGAAAACAGGTATCATCAAGCAAAGAGCTCGTCTTTGTGGATGCTATGAAGGCACTACAAATTCATCGATATGATGTTATATTTGACACATATATTGATCTATTTGGGGACAAATTCAGATGCTTCAAATGACCATGTTCTTATAATATAACCAATCTACTGAATTCTTCCGTCTCCAGAGCATTCCTTTCTTGTTATATTACTATTGTGTTTCATAATTCCCTTTTCCAACCACTTGTCATTAATAATGAATAAGAAGAGACTTTTAATTCTATGCATCTTTTAATACTTAATTAGTGAGACAGGAAAAGGCAACCCCTTTTCTATAAGATGATGCTAGACACAGCACTTTTTATATATTACATTTTATTGTGACGTATTGTCAATAACAACTCTTATTCAAGCAATGCCTCGAGCATGTCAGACCAAAAATAGCGTCAGTGTCCAGAACACATAATAAATTGTGGTCGGATTAATTTCATTAAAAGCTCAGAGAATCAGAAAAATAAAGCCTGGTCGTACTCTCTCTGTGTGCCATGCTGTGGGAAAGGTCCAAATCATGTTCAGCTTGCTTCATAACGCTATGATTTACATCCAGGTGCTCCGTCTATTTACAGTAGCTGTACTTTTAACTAGTTCAAGAAGCAGCATGGCAGCTTTATGAAGGGACTGGCAGGATGATGGGAGAGCAACTAGCTGCTGCCGACCAACCGATCGGCCCTGGAGGACACCAGACATCGGGACACATTAAGACTACGGCTGGTGGGTGGATATGACTGAAAATCAGCCCATCAGCGGTGAGGCAGAGGTGAAGGTGAGGACAAGTAATAATGTGTTGTATAAAAGAAGCAACCTTGTGTGTTCAAATAGCTTCAGAAACCTCCTCCCCCATTATTTTCCAACATCAGAACTGCAGAGACTGTCTCGGACCATTTCTGTAACTTTCGTAAACCTACAATCTGACATTTGTACCCATTTTCAGTGCCACAGAGACCTTAACTTCTCCCTCTGCTCTACTTTTTCATTCTTGACATGGCTATTTCTATCACTTCTCATGCAAACAAATAAGTGCAACGCTGTGAATGTTTTCTACGAGGGACTGTCTGAAAATATGCACCGCTATCCCACCTTTGAGTGCGGCTGTTTGGAAAAAGCTATAAATGCTTTTGATTTCCGGCAGAGTCAGAAAACATGTCAGGTTCTCTTCAAACATAACCCAGCCCTCAGGAGCTATCTGTTTCAGGTCAAGAGAAGAGTTTTGGTTTTTTTTTTATCTCAGGATACAATTTTCCTTCTTGGCTAGCATGTTATTTTAACAAGAGCCAGTGGACTAAGACCACCTCAGACAGATGATGGACCAACTAAACACCAGTTCACCATCTTCAGGGCACAACACAAACAAAGCATCTTTTTTGCATTGTGCCAACACCAGCAGGGAAGCTGCAGCACAGCCCTCCACTCGTGTCATCCACATCCCATACTGCACACAACTCATGCACACTATTTGTCTATATTTTAACGCACCATAATCGTAGTCATAGTTCAGATGCAAAAATGCATTTACTTTTGTACTAGCAGGAAGGATGCAATACATATTAAGCTGCAATTTTGGAAGGCCAGAAAAAAAGTTTCATGTGTACATACTGATGCTTTGGAGGATTTTCTCATTTCTACACAGTGAACATATTATGTGAATCAAATCTCCTCAGATCTATTGCACGGCATGGATTTTATAATGTAGCTTAAGTCTGCCGAACAAGTGCATTTCACTTACTGCTGTTTGTGGTTCAGCTCTGCCTCCTTGTTCACCAGATCCTGCTTGAGGTTAGCTAGCATTTCCACAGAGACGTCCACCTGCCGAGAGAGCTCAGAGGCCTTGTCCTCCAGGTCTTGTTTCTCCTGGCTCAGCCGCTCGCTCTCCTGCTTGGCCCGCTCCAGCTCGGAGCTCTTCCTCTCCAGCTCTGCCTGCAGCCGGCCTACACGGGCCGCTATTTTCTGCTCCACCTACAAGACAAGAAGAACCTGAGCTGCCTAATGTGCCACCATAATCATCATATTGTTTGAAATGCAACTAAATATGCAAACAGGGTCATTAACTGAAAAAGCAATTAACGCATGAATTAAAGAGTTCTGCCTGCAAACATCTTTACATATTCATTATGGTATCTTCATCTTACAGCATCATTACTTTAAAGATTGTTTTTCTCAGTAGGATGTGCTGACAGCCCAGATGAAAATATCAAAACTTAAGTGAATTTTTGAGCTCTCGAAGTTGCATGATAACAGACAACATTATGACACCATTCAAAATCGGTTACGGGTAGGACTGATTTTTAAATGTAACTGATCAGCTTCAGTGATGAGCTGATGAATTTTCTCTCTTCTAAAGAGCTCAGAGTTTTTAAAGCAGACTAACAGCATCAGGAGGAGTGCTGCTGCAGTTTAATGTCTAATCTCAACACAAATGGGTTATGAGTATTTTTCTTGGACCACTTCTGGATTGTGCAAAAACACACCTGCAGAAAACATTATTCTAAGACAAAACAGTCAAACTCCTTGTGCACATTTGGACAATAAAGTTGATTGTGATTCTGTCAACTCCGTGTACCTCTTCAGACAGCTTCTCCAGCCTCTCGTCCAGTTCTAGCCGTTCAAACGCCCGCGCCTTCAGCCTGGCCAGGCCTTCCTCGTACGCTGCTTCAACTGCACTCGCCGCTACATTAGCTGCCACCGCTACAGCTGTGCTGGGGTTTCCATGGGGACCTGGGTCTGCAGATGTCATGGCTTTCTTCATAAAAATCTCCCCCAGGGGAAACTCCACATTCGGAATATACCGCGCTGCAGTGTTGGAGTTAGCCGGAGTCAAGCTCAGGTCGTCCGAACAAGGAAGCTCGCGGCAGGGAAAGCGCCGTTCCTTCAAAGCTGAAGGCCGAAGAGGCTCAAAAGGGTCGTTGTTGTTGGCGGGTGTCAGGAGAGCTCCCTCGGCCACTAGGGGCAGCAGAGCAGCAGCGTCGCACACACTGTTTGATTTGGAGAGGACGTAGAGGGTCTCGTACGTGTGGTTGTACTCCAGGTGGGCGCGCAAGGATGACAGGCTTCGGAAGCGCTTGTGCTCCCCGCAGCGAGGACAGCGGTATGGCAGGTCCAGAGAGGCCATTCCGTGCAGTAACTGCCGGAGGAGAGGGGGGCGCTCACGCAGCACAACGGCAGCGCCAGTGTAAGGGCACGGAGGTCAAGCACCTGATCGATGGTCGTCTCATGGTGACAACAGGGCAACTCGGGGGAACTGGCAGGAAGAAGGGAGATCCCATGTGCAATGGAAGAACCAGGTCAGTCACATGACCGCACGGAGTGACGACATTCAACTGGTCTTTTTACTTCATCTGCCATGGTTTCCCTGCCTGAGGTCCTACACAGAAGGAGAAAATACAAGTTAGAGGTGAAAGGTTTCCTGCTTGTGCAATTTTGATATAAACTGAAATGAATATGAGAATTCACTAAACAAGTGCAACATTTTAAAAATCAAAAAATTGCTAACCAGAAGTAGAAGACAAGAGCTACGCCTAGTGCACCTCCACAGAATACACTGGGGACTAAACAATGTGCTTGGAAGCTTTTACCTACAACAAGGTCCATCTTTTCCCTGCAACACAGCCAAGTAAGTCCTGGCACTGGTTCAACTGTTGACTGAAACTTGGTAGCGTTTTTATTATTTGACGATAAAAATGCTAAATTACCTCTCAATGAACCGAGCTGTAAATAAAACCAAACAAAACCAGACAAATACACATTTAAATGCAGCAATCGTCCTCATTCAGCAGTGAAGACAAAAGAGAAAAGCCACATATTAGCACTGTGATGAATCTTTGTAAAAAGTGATTATTGGCTACAGCCATTACCTACCAAATTAGAATTTTCTGCTGTTTATTGTGCTAATTAGAACACTGAACAGGGGCACTGATTAAAAAGATAATTAACTATGACTTATGTATGAGATACAAGTAAAAACAGTTACATTTAACAGAAGTGGATGAGAGAAAAACATGCATCTGCAAAAAATTTGGTTATGCTATAGCAGTCATTAAAGTAGTTCACGGCACCTCAGAAAATAGAACGTGCTAAGTGATGGAGATAATCATCACACAGCCTAGTTTTCCTCACGTTCTCTGACTGTCTGGACTCACTCAATAGGAATACTGATCTATGACTTTAGTGGTTAAGTAATATGAAACCTTTACTTTACTAAGGGTTAAAAAGGAGACTCCTGCACTTGTACACTGAAATACTCTGAGGAAGACTCAGGGAAGAGTGGAGAAATAGAAATGGATCCATTAGTGAGAGTGCTTGTTAGTGCCAAGTCTTAAGTCTAAGAGGTCAGACTGGATAATGCTAAGTCCTTTACAGAGGGATCTGGTAACCTCCACTAGGAAAAAAAAGCCCCGCTATCTGTTATCTGAGTTATATCCTCCTCATGCAGCCTTTGTTTGTGCAGTTCCTCGTTTTATATGTGGCCTTATGTTTCCAACAATACCCTGATAGAAGATGAAGAACAAGTGAGGTAATTAAATGCATGCCAGAACTTAAAAACAAAGACAAAGCATCAATTCAAGTATTTCTCTATTTTCATAAAACAGGAATCTATCAGAAATATGAAAACAATCTATATTTTATTTATATTTATCATTTCCATCTGCCACTTAGATGCTGAGCAGTGTGAGCCACAGCAAAAACATTGCATTATTTGTTTATCCAATTATCCAGCACTTGAAACCCCAGGTGAAATAAAAATTCAGCATGCCAGCCTCCATTCAGCATTCAAGCCTCTACTGGTTCCTCTGCATCGAGTTCTCTAATTAAAGCGCAGTTCTTCTCCAGTCAGTGTCAGCAACCAGCGCATTAACAATAAAAAGCTGAGCTCTTCACTGTGGCAAGATCCAACGATCAGCCATAAGATTAAAACAAATAACTGTGATTGGTGTTCTGCTAGGAAACTTGGGTCTTGACATTTATGTAGATGGCAATGGCACTTCCCAATGCCAGCAGCTTCCCCCAGCAGGACAATGCAACCTGCCACACTGCAAAAATTGCTCAGGAACACGTGGCCTCCAAACTCACCAGATTCCAACCTGATCCATAATGCACTTTAACAAAGCTGATCCAGAGAACCCCTACCCCACAACCCACCCAACATTCTGGTTCCAGAAACCCCAAGACACCCTTAGAGATCGTTAGTCCATGTCCCGATGGGTTAGAGCTGTTTGAGTGGTATGGGGAGGACCGACACAATATTAGGCAAGTGGTTTAAATGTATAGGTCTTTAAATCAAGATAGCTACGAAGAAATCTGTAAAAGGCTATAAAATCACCAGAATATTTTAGAGTTAAAGTTCCTCTGTGGATAGAAAAGTCAAACTATGATGGCATACCAGTAATCTCCTATTATCTTTTATAACTACACAACATTGTCTACATTATGGTATTAAGGTAAGCGCCATTTTACATTGGCTGCTGTTCGTTAGAATTTTCACTTACTGTTTTACTTTACATACCCAGGTAAAAGGCTTGATAAAATTCAAAAAAGACTCAAGCCAAGAGGGCAGCTTAAAACCAGTGTTAGAACAATAGATGCAGTATGACTAAGAGTACACAAAATATCCTGTTGGATGCAATATAAAAGCAGAGGCATTCTTTTTAAATGCAAATGTTGTAGAGAGGCAATGTGATTCGTTTTCCCTGTACATTTGTACCAACACAAGTTTATTCACTAATCCTTTAGGCCCTGCTGAACTCATCCTACATCAATTTTTACTGTTCTTCGGCCAATAAAAAGAAAACCCTGACTGCCAAGTGTTTTGAAATACTGAACATATACCTCATCCAGCAAATACATTACTGCAGGTTGCCATTTAAAAAATAAAAACTATCGGCATCTCAATGGGTTCTGGATCAAAAACAAAGAATACCAATGCCCAGAACGTGGACTGATTTACCAAGCTGTTTCCGCCAAACAATCTGAGTCCACATGGTCTGCATAACAATGGAAGCCCGTGTATTAGAGTGTGCACATTCTGTATTTCAACATGGGCCATTTGGACTCTTACAGCTTGGTATAAATGGTATAGTACCCCAATCCAAGACTGGAACTTGGACCAGAACAGACTCTTAAGAGTTTCTCTCTCACAACGTTCTATAGCAGCTATTAATGAGCGAAGCAGCAGGCAGTGAGGGTGCAATGACAAATCACAGATGCAGATCGTTCCTCACAGTGGGCTCATACACTGGAAATCCCCAGAAGTCACAGAGACTGTTATTAGACGTCTGGTGAGGCTGGATCAGGGAGTGTACTGGCAAGTCGTGCCCACTTATTAAAGAAAGAGGATTTCACAGACGCAGTCACTACACTGCAGACAGCAGGCTCTCCCATCTGCTTAAAATTACCAAGTGAGGTATTTAAACAGGCAGGAAATGGAAGGAAGTGAGGCTGCTTGGTAGCCACATGTCACATCCTGCCAATGGAGCTCAGCTGAAATATTTCAATAAGCTGAATTTGATGTTCTATTGTGGACTGTGAATAGTGGACACAGAAAGTTGCTGGGACATATTTAACAAAAATACAAAAAAATAAGCAGCTCTTTAGTGTTCTTTCTTCAGATTTCTCTTCTTTTTCTCTCACAGAAAGTAGTCTAATTGGTTTTCACCATGAGAGAGCCCTGTCTAAGTCAGCGGCTGCAATGACCAATCAAAAGGGCAGGAAAATCCTCAGCTCAGACATCACCTCAGACAATTACAACCTCAGTACCTGAACCTCATTAAAACAAGACACTCAATATATATGGCGAGATCTATGGAACGGAAATTCACAATGGAAATTCAATGGAAAAAAATGGACATAGAACTGACTCTTTGTTTTCGTCACAGATGAAACAGGTAAAAAAGAAAATCAGGATTTTTTTAATCAAAAATTGGACTTTAAATATGGAATAGGAGGTAGCATTTCAGGCAGTAACTAATCCAAGGTTATAACATCTGGCTGTGCTTGATTTAATGTATGTCAATGAAAATCCTGCCTTTTTTTTTTTTTTTAAACCAATCTAGTCCGCTTCTATGGCAATCAGTAACAAAAGTCATCAGCTTTACCAGATCAGCTATCGGCCTTCAAAATGTGTGAAGGAATCTCCATCTGTAACTGCCCGTGTGACCTAACATTGATCAGATATACAAGCAGTCCTTTTACATTAAGTAAGAGCAGTAGCATTGTAGGGGTTAATGTCTCATTCCCACACGGATCAGATGCACATCTGCAACAAACTCTGAGCCTCATTTGTGTTACAGAACTATTTCGGGCTGCAAACACAGAAAAGCTGTGTAATAATGATCCCACAGAGCAGCCACCTGGTGCTATAGCAAAATATCACACTGAGTGGCATAGTATTTAGCATTAAGGGGCCCAGTGTATCTGTTGTGTTTAGTTGTCCTTGACGGATATTTGTCCAGGGCCGATGGGAACACAAATATTAGTAAAAATCAAAACACTATTACATTTACAAGCAACATTCCCGACTGACATGACACACCATCAAAAATATCAGCCCAGCTGGTTGTTTTACTTTTATTTCTTGAGTAATCCCATTCTGTGGACTTGTAATGGAAAGCTGCTTTTTAAAAAGACTCTCTGCGGGGAAACAGTAACAATCTCATTTTCATTTTCTGTCAAACCTATAGGGGCTTTCAGACGGTCCAACAAGGCATTAAAGGCAGGCCAGTATATATAGGCCTACAGGAAACAGAGCGAGGGCTTCAATTTGACCACGGTTCTTTACAACAAGGTCATGAGTAAAAGCAACGGTATCGGGGCTAAATGGCTCTTTATCTATGGTTGTTTACATCGGGGCAGAAGCCTGAAATCTCAGGGTGTTTCAAAGTGAGGATGGTCTACACACCTACAGTCCATTTTCATTACATAAGAACAAAGGTTTTCTGAACATAAGGTCAGGAGTTACAGGTGAATAATTTCAAAAAGAAGGAGATGAAAAAGATACAGAAATGTGATGACAAAGAACAAACATCGAGGGAAGACGGGCAGGAGTAGAAGTGAGAAGAGAACTGATGGCAACAGTGAAAGTGTTTCACAGCGGGAGAGGTATATACCACAGGAGGC